TCATGGCGACTGAACATTTGCTACACAGGCTTAGGCCACAATTGTAAATAATTTCTCTGTAAATTACTTGAAATAAACTTCTTCTTTAGAAAAAGTATGGAAAAAAGTGTACTGCCTTAAAACAAACAAACCTCAACTGCGCAATAGACAGAAAGAATACAATAGCGAAACTTAAATTTAACCCATTTCTCTACCTAAATAGTGCAATATAAAAAAAACTGCTGCTACCACATAAACAATAATTTTACATATTTACATAAACACTTCCTAGAACCTAAAAATAAAAAAAAATAGTAGATTCCCGGGCAAATGAAAGCTATTTTCGCTCAAAAAGTAACAAACTTGGTAAACTAAGAAATTGAACACGATAACACATTCCGGCTAATAAGTCAGTGAGGAAACCAAATTCCAACTAAATTCAGCAAGCAGAATTTTAACGAACAGAATGTCACCAAAATAACCAAAAATCTACCAAAGCAAGGCTGATAAAGACACCCTAATATGAACCTAAATCAACACTTGCCCATGTTGCTAGCCGACCGTGTTAATATAATCCTGGACCTGCAGCCAAAAGGTTTTTTAAACCAAATTGGAAATGAATGCGTCGATATAAAATTTTTACAGAAATTAAATTACAAGTTTTTTCAATAATTTACCTTCTAGGTTGGAAAGTAGGTTGTAGTTGAGTATGGTTAGTGGGTTTTTTTTGTCAGCTATAATGACAAGATTCAACCACAGGAAAAAAAGAGACTATCAAATATTACTGCAGCTGAATAAACATTGAGACTTATTTTCGCTACATGAAAAAAGTTTTTTTACATGTAATAAGGTTTTTAATGTAAGAAGTTTTTCTTTTTTCAAGTAGTAAGATTCTTCTTTCTTCCCTTTCCGTAATAAACAAGTTAAACATAGAATATATACCTACTTTTTTTCCTCGTCATTACTTCTAGTTTTAGTTCAGTATTCGTGGCTTTTTGCTAATATTTTTCAAAGTTTAGTTAGCTATTAAATTACTGTATTTTTTTCTTCTGCCATTTCATGACCATCTTTCTCAACTACCTATAATTTATTTTTTACCCTTTTCACATTTTCTCAAGATACTTTGAATGTAGATTGCAGTATCCTAAAAAAAACTGAGGTATGTGGACATTTAATAAAGTTGTTGCAGTAAAACTTTAAAAGTATATGTAAAAACTGAAATCGCTCTCATATTTTGGCCAAAATCTTGTCTGAAAGTGGGAATTGAATCATGAAATTGTAAATACAAACAGACAAGACTTTATCAAACAATACACAGTAACTGCAACATCATTTACACAAGTTACTTAGAAGTTTAGTGTAATTTCACGGAGTTCACCTGGATCATCTCCGAATGCTGCTGGACTTTAGCAGTGATAAATGATATTTTGCTCCCAAAAAATTTCACACCAAATTGAGATTGGACGGCCCTCTTTGTATATATACCTTTCGTAGTCATGTACTGTAAAGTCATGGTTATTCAGAATGGTCAGATCCTGCGGAAACTGAAGAAGGTTCCGTAAGCGTGACATATCAATAATGCATAGGAGCAAAGAAAATTTCAAAATTCACGTGATCAGAAGATATTTTGCTTTTTTATTTCAATCATTTTTTAAGGTCCGCACAACTGGCCAAATGCGGATGGTCTTCTACAATCCCCAATTGATATCAACCAAGATATCGTGAAAAATGCTCCCGAGTGCGAACCAATGAAATTTGTCAACTATCATCGAGTATTCGACGGCGAAATAGTAAACAATGGCCATTCAAGTAAATTTTCCAAACTTGTCTTTGGTTTTGAAAGATTATTCACAAGCTTCTTGGCGTTGCTTTTTGGATTTAACGGGTTAATTGTTTCTTAATTCACTGGTGAAAGTGAGAGTATCGGCGTGATATTCCTCACTGTTTATGAAAAACTGCACGGAATAAAAGGCGAATGAGGTAGAAGGGCTTCAGAGAAAATGCCTGGTACATGAACACGCTAGCAAAGTGTTGATTATTATGAAGATAAGATTGATTTGAAGGAAAATAAAGATGGATCGATATATAATAATCTAACTGTTTTGTTTATTCTAATTCTTACATTTTCCAATTGTCAGGTAACAAAATTCTTGGAATTCTCGGCAACGACTGAATTTTGTTGCTGGTCATTTTTTCCTTGAGAGAGAGGAGGGGGTGTAGCGAAATCTTCTAATTCCCGCTATATTGTTGAAGATTGATAGCGTTAGAGTACTGCGATTGTAGGAACAAACCGCGGTCAAGTTTTGAGAGATAGATTTATTGACTACGACCACCTCAAACTTGGGTAATTAAATCCATCCGGCAACAAAATTTAGAACAAAAAAGTCGTGGCGATAACGTTTATATTAAACAAAACAATCCTAGAAAATAGTAATAATAAGGAATATTAAATAGTAATGCCCAAAGAGGTACTAAACAGCCTCAAGGAGACAAGAGAAAATATAAAAGTAAGTTTTTTCGGATACTTCTACATAGTTTTATCACTGTGGGCAACCTCTAATTTGGCCTCTATCTAAGGCTTGCCGCTTTTAGCCTTCACTTCTCAAGAGTGAGGTATTCATATAAAGCCAAAGTTGAAGGAAATAGTGATAATAAGAAATACAAATAGTAATAACAAAAGAGGTGCTAAAAGCCTCGTGGGGATAAGAGAAAATACAACAGGAAGTCCTTTAAAAAACTTCTATATAGTTTTATCACTGTGGCCAACCTGTAGCTTGGCCTCTCTCGAATTCTCGCCGCCTTTAATCCTCGCTTTTTGCGATGGGAGGGAGGGGAAAACGAATGGAACTTCTATAAAGTGCTAAAGTTTGATTGAGTTGGCCAAATATGATTATTTGCGAAAACAGTGCTTTCTTCGATCTTAACAGAATTGAACACTTTTTGAGTTAATTTAAAGAATGCATTATTTACTTCGTTTTTTAGAATTTTTACTTCACTTTAGCAACTTATAAAAATTGTGGGAACTTTTCAGTTCACAACAAGCAAAAAAAAATAATAGATCTTTATTTTCCAAGAGGTTGCGCCTTGCGCAGACTTCTTGACTTTTTTATAGACTTCGGAAAGTCATTTTATTGACAGGGCTTTTAGTACTCTACTTTATTAGATTTGACTTATATGAAGGCTCTGCTAATGCGAAGAGAGGCAAAATCAGAAGAACTCGTAATTTTTTCTCAACAAAATTTATCAAACTTTGAGTTAGAGCCACAGACAGCGAGCTGAAAAAGGGTTAGGATGAAAACGTAAAGACTTTTTTAACCGATCTGCTTTGCTCTTTTAAGATTTAAATTAATAGCTCGGCAATTCCGGTTTATTTAGAGTTAACCCTGATTAGCTGAAGTAATTTGAGATGACGAATTGATTTTATAGCGTCGCAAAAGTTGGTACGTTTCGTATCTAACATTTTCTCCCACTTTAAGAGTGGCATTAAAACTTGGTATTTTTTGGATTTTACAAGAAAATTCTACGTATAAAAATGTCTTTCAAAAGAATCAAAGTCCACTTATTTCCTTATACCGTAAAATGATATTTCGCCTTATTTCTCTGATTCATCAAAATTTACAAAGAAGGTACCTTGTTACTTGAAATTTGGACAAGTGCTTGAATTAAGCAGAATACTTCAAAAGCAAAAATGTGTCCCAAAATGAAAGTTTTGTAACCTCGCGTTACTCGCCCTTGTAAAACTCAGCACTTTTTTAACTTTGCAAATGAGCATACTCTTAAAAACAAACGGTCCTCTCCGTCTACATCTTTTAATATGAGAGTGCTCAAGACCATGTTGACGGTTTCCTTATAAAGAAGAGTGAAGTACCGCCAATGCTGTTAGCTTGCCGGGATTGCTCCAAACTAAGTTCCAAACCTTGTGGTTACTACCAATGCAAGCTCGATACGTGTAAGCATTTACGCTAAGCTGCACAAAAATTATATATGAAGAACTGTAGGCCGATGTGGCACTAATGTTGAAATTGAATACTGTATATCTCCGGGAAATGCACTGTTCACACTAACATTTTGCAATTTAAAAACCTTGCAATAAGAA